TGCAGCACCTGCTCTGCTACCAAACATAATATAGTAGGTTTTGTCAGTGTTAAGTGTAAGTTTATTGGCTGTCATCCAAGTCGATATTTTGAGCAGCTCCTCGTTAATAATGGTGTTGAGGGTGGCAAGATTAGGGTGGGAGATGACATAAGTCGTGTCGTCAGCAAAGAGAATGGGTTTCAAGTGTTGGGATATGTTTGGAAGATCATTGATGTAAATGAGGAAGAGCAGGGGTCCAAGGACACTTCCCTGCGGAACTCCAGTATTAAGTGGCCATATTGATGAGGCTGTGCCTTTAATGGTGACATACTGATACCTATTAGAAAGGTAAAATTTAAAATATGCAAGCGCATGGCCTCTTATGCCATAGTGGTCAAGTTTGTGGAGTAGGATGCCGTGGTCTACTGTGTCAAACGCTTTTCTTAGATCAATAAAAATTCCTAGTGGATATTCCTTATGTTCCAATGCTGTGTAAAGCAGGTCTAGCAATTTTATAATTGCATCATTAGTGCTTTTATTTTTCCTGAATCCAAACTGGCAGGGGTTGAGTATGTTTTGTGCCTTTATAAATGAATACAGTCTCCTGTGCACGAGTTTCTCGAATATATTGGATAGCAATGGTAAGTTTGATGTTGGCCTATAGCTGTTTACATCTGTAGGGTCACCACCTTTATGTAATGGTGTAACCCTTGCTGTCTTGAGTAGTGTCGGGAAAGTGCCGCTCGCTTTTACAATAATGGTGGGACGTGAGACAGATTCCCCGAGTTATTTTTAAGTGACTTTATGATCGCGGTGACTTCCGTGGGCTCAGTTGGTACAAGATAGAAGGAATTTGAGAAATTCCCATCTAGGTAGTCCCCGGCACGGGCATTGGTACATGGGATTTTACTGGTGAGATTAGCTCTTATGTTTGAGAAGAAGTCGTTTATCTTGTTAGCTCTATCAGTGGGATGCAGTGGTGTTTCATGAGGTTTAGTTAGGACAATATTGTTGTTGTTTTTTCAGTTTGTGGGTGCCCAGAATCTGGGAAAGTGTTTTCCAGGTCTTTTTTATATCTCCTCTAGTGTCAGTGAATCTATTGGAGTAGTACAGTTGTTTGGCTTTCTTTATTACTTTGGTGAGAACTGATGAATAGTGTTTAAGAATATCTTTGTGTATTAAGCTCTGTCTATATTGCTTTCCATATTGGTGTTTCTTATCAATGGATTTCAGAATGCTGCTGGTTAGCCATGGGCAACTGAGCCGTGAGAGTGGCAGCCGCTTTAAGTGGCAAGTGGTTCACAGTTCAGGAAGAAGAAAGATAGGAGGGTTAATAGAGAAAATGTGAAGGTAGGAAATCGATTCTCTGTTCTCCAGGATGAGTGCACTTCAGTGGTTAGTGAGGTTGAAGGTACCACTGATTCCCCTGCTAATCAAGGTAAGAATATTCTAATTGTAGGAGATTCTCAGGTAAGATATATGGATCATTCATTTTGTAACAGAGATAGAACGGTCAGAAGGAGGGTGTGTCTCCCAGGAGCTGCTGTTGGTTGCATAGTCAGCAGGTTGGATAATATTATTTCAGGTAATGGGAACAAGCCTATTATCTATCTTAGTGCTGAGGGGTAATGACAGTGGGAAGGGCAAGAGACAGGAGCTGCTGGACAATTACAGGTCAGCCCTAGAAGTAGTCAGGTCTAAGGGAGGGATCCCAGTCATATGTAGCATCTTGCCTAGAAAGGGATTGGGCAATGAATGGATGTCTAGGGCAATGCTATAAATTGCTGGCTAGACAGGTACTGCTAAGAACTTGCAATCCAATACATTGATAACTGGAACAAATTCTATGGCAAACATGATATGTATGCAAGGAATGGGGTTCATCTCTCTGGGGCTGGAGTGGTTGCATTAGCCAATTTGATTGAGGGGGTAATTGATGACTTACCTAGAACTTTAAACTGGTAGATTATAGAGGTATGGGTGTCTGAGGGAAACAATCAGGCTGCATTATTAGGGTTGAAAACAGCAGATATTACCGGGATATCTCAGGGATACGTTTAAAAGACAATATTCAAAATAAAGTTGCTAGTAAAGGCAAATCAACTGATCAACAAACAAAGAGAGATAATAGAGGGCAACAAGTGACAAGCTCCCTTAAGGTTTCCTATACAAACCATACCCCCGGCCGGGATTGAACCCGCGGTCATAGAGTCTCAAAACTCCAGCCCGTCGCGTTAGCCACTAGTGGCTAACGCGACGGGCTGGAGTTTTGAGACTCTATGACCGCGGGTTCAATCCCGGCCGGGGGTATGGTTTATTTGCAATCGTGTCATTACGATTTCTTAAGTCATGTTTCCTATACAAATAGTAGGAGTCTAAGAAATAAGATAGATGAGCTAAGATTACTTGGAAGTGCAGGTAAAATAGATATTATTGATATAACAGAGACCTGGTTCAACCTGAAAGAAAGAGAAATGCCATCTGAGCGCAAAATACAGGGTTATAAACTATTCTACACAATAGGGTCAACAGGAAGGGTGGTGGAGTGATGATGTAAGTCAGAGATAATTTAAACTGTTGTCTTAGACATAATACAAGATTAGAAACATCGGACACAGAATCTGTTTGGCTACAGTTTCTTGAGGGTTGTGACAAATTAATTTTGGGTGTGATTTATAGGCCCCCAAACCTTGACAGGGAGTGCAGTAAGTTGTTATGGGACGAAATTCATAAGGCATCTAGTTATGAAAATGTTGTGTTAATGGGGAATTTTAACTTTTAACAAATTGATTGGAACAATACGACAGGAAATCTTGAGTCTAATGACTTTCTTAATACGGTTCAGGATTGTTTTTTGGAACAGTTTATGACAGAACCAGCTAGAGGAAACAATCTGCTTGACTTGGTTCTTGCCAACAAAGAATCACTAATTAATAATCTTGAGGTTAATGATGAGATTGGGGAGAGTGATCACAAATCACTTAGTTTCAATATATCATGGAATTACCCAGATAATTGCAATCAAATCTCTGTCCCATACTTTTGCTTGGCTGATTTCATGTGACTGAGAAATTACCTGGGTGGGCTAAATTGGAATGACCTGACTATGGGTCAGGGAGATTTATCTTGGTTGCCAATATGACGTTTTTTCAGAGTATAGTTCGAGCTACCAAGACAACTTTTGCTCTGAGTAGGGAAATTAGATCTTACAAAAATGATCCCAAATAGACGAACAATAGATTAAAACATCTCATTGGTCAAAAGAGAGGCATATATAGGCGTCTCAAAAGAGGAGATGGGCAGTTAAGAAATCAATATAGTCAATTAAAGAGAGAACTAAAAAAACAGGAATAAGAAAAGGAGAAAAGGATTATGAGGCTAAGGTCGCAAGGGATTCTTTCAGGTACACAGAAGTAAGATTAGGGACAAGATAGACCCACTTAAGAGTAACTCAGGCCAGATCACTGACAGTGATAAGGATATGTGTGAAATTTTCAATATTTACTTTCTCTCAGATTTTTACCCAGGAAAATACTAGCGAAATTACTGAAATAATAGATTATGTAGAACACGACGATAATAAACTACGCACGATTGCGGTAACTAGTAACATGGTCCTCCGACAAATAGAGAAATTAAAACCTAACAAATCCCGATTCCTTGATGAACTGTTTGCAAGGGTGTTAAAGGAATGTAAAGAGGCACATAGCATACCTTTGGTTAATCTTTCAAACTGGCATAGTGCCTGATAAATGGAAAATGGCAAATGTAATAACTATTTACAAGGCAGGTGACAGGTCCTTAGCATCGAACTATAGACCAATAAGCCTTACCTCCATAGTGGGAAAATTTATGGAATCAATAATTGCCGAAGCAATTCATAGCCATCTTGATAGGCATAAATTGATTAATGAATCTCAACACGGTTTTATAAAGGGGCGTTCCTGTCTTACGAATTTACTAACTTTTTTTCATTAAGGTGCTTGAGGAGGTAAGGCTTTCGATAGAGTTCCACATCAGAGGCTATTGAGGAAACTTAAGGCACTCGGAATAGGAAGAGAAATTTTTTCCTGTGTAGAGGCATGGCTGACAAATAGGCAGCAGAGAGTTTGCATAAATGGGGAGAAATCAGAATGAGGGCACATGACAAGCGGTGTTCCGCAGGGGTCAGTGTTGGGCCCGTTATTTACAATTTACATGAACAACAAAGATGAGGGAATAAATAGAGACAATCAAATTTGCTGATGACACCAAAATAGGCCGACCAATTCGTTCTAATGAGGACACTAGAGTAAGTAAGTAAGTAAGTAAGTAAGTAAGTAAGTAAGTAAGTAAGTAAATTTATTCAGGTATACACAATACAGTTACATAGAATTATCATACATAGCAGCATATGTGTAGAGATCCTAGGATAACCCAAAAAAGTCAGACAGAGTGACTTATTTCCATTGGGGATGATTTGAATAGACTGAAGCAATGGTCGGAGAAGTGGCAGATGCAGTTTAGTATAGACAAATGCAAAGTTCTAAATGTTGGACAGGAAAATAACCATGCCACATATAAACTAAATAATGTAGATCTTAATACTACTAATTGCAAAAAGGATTTAGTAGTTCTGGTTAGCAGTAATCTAAAACCAAGACGACAGTGCATTAGTGTTCGCAATAAAGCTAACAGAATCCTTGGCTTTATACCTGGAAGTATAAATAATAGTCCTCAGGTTGTTCTTCAACTCTATGGACCTGCTGCGCATGGGTCAGTAGGCCTGCTGCAGTGTTCCTTCTTTCTTATGTGCTTATATAATGAAAATCGTGCGCTTTACCTTATTTTATTAATCATTTTAGCTGAGAATCAATTATTCAAGTGTCACCCTTGCATAAGTTTGTTACAAAAATATGCATCTGAATATGTCTTTACAAGGAGCTAAAATTATCAACCATTTGTAAGTAGTTAAAACTTAGCTAAAAGATCCATACAATACAGTATTCCTTCAAAATTATGGCTAATTAAAGAATACTTACTAAGGCTTTTAGTGGGTGAAGCGACTTCTTGAGTTAGTGGTGTCGGAGAGACGACTGTGGCAGCCTCAGGACTCAGTTAGTGGTGTCGGAGAGACGACTGTGGCAGCCTCAGGACTCAGTTAGTGGTGTCGGAGAGACGACTGTGGCAGCCTCAGGACTCAGTTAGTGGTGTCGGAGAGACGACTGTGGCAGCCTCAGGACTCAGTTAGTGGTGTCGGAGAGACGACTGTGGCAGCCTCAGGACTCAGTTAGTGGTGTCGGAGAGACGACTGTGGCAGCCTCAGGACTCAGTTAGTGGTGTCGGAGAGACGACTGTGGCAGCCTCAGGACTCAGTTAGTGGTGTCGGAGAGACGACTGTGGCAGCCTCAGGACTCAGTTAGTGGTGTCGGAGAGACGACTGTGGCAGCCTCGGGACTCAGTTAGTGGTGTCGGAGAGACGACTGTGGCAGCCTCAGGACTCAGTTAGTGGTGTCGGAGAGACGACTGTGGCAGCCTCAGGACTCAGCTCACCTCATTACATTATTCTAAAGCTGTTTTTTTTTTTTTATAAATCCAAGACTGAGTTATACCCATGAATGGTAATGTTTTGAAAATGTTCCCCTGGATCCATGATCAAAAAGTGACACAAGTGATGTTCTTCATAACACTGCCAGTGTTGTGGTCAACGTGGATTTTTCAAGACAATATGTTTTACTAAACACATAAAAGACAGATCTCACTCCGCCAATATTACATAACCAGTTCACTTTAACTTGAGTTTTTCAAACACTCTTGTTAGGTTTTATGACATTTCAATTATTTTCTTCCCACTGTTAACCTCTTTTCTCAGCAGCTGCAACAGTGACTTAGTACTCAGGTTCACCAGGATGACTTATGGTCAAGAATCTTCTCCATGTGGTGACCTGTACACATGTGGTGACCTGCACACATGTGGTGGCCCGATATACATGTGGTGACCTGTACACATGTTGTGACTCAGCACACATGTGGTGACCTGCACACATGTGGTGAACTGCACACATGTTGTGACTCAGCACACATGTGGTGACCTGCACACATGTGGTGACCTGTACACATGTTGTGACTCAGCACACATGTGGTGACCTGCACACATGTGGTGACCTGCACACATGTGGTGGCCCGATATACATGTGGTGACCTGTACACATGTTGTGACTCAGCACACATGTGGTGACCTGCACACATGTGGTGAACTGCACACATGTGGTGACCTGCACACATGTGGTGAACTGCACACATGTGGTGACCTGCACACATGTGGTGACTTGCACACATTTGGTGACCTGCACACATATGGTGACCTGCACACATGTGGTGACCCAACACACATGTGGTGATATAAGAAAAAAAAGAAAGAACACTACAGCAAGCCTACTGGCCCACGCGAGGCAGGTCCAGTTCTCCCACCAGCTTAAACCAACGTCTTGACCTAGTCAGGTCAGCCACATTCACTTAAGGAATGAGCACGGCATCTGACCTAGTAGCAGAAGCTAGTCAGGTCCAACTCACACCCACTCATGTATTTATCTAACCTATTTTTTAAGCTAAACAACGTCTTAGCTTCTATGACTGTACTCTGGAGTTTGTTCCACTCATCCACAACTCTATTACCAAACCAGTACTTTCCTATATCATTCCTGAATCTGATTTTTTCTAATTTAAAAGCATTGCTGCGAGTCCTGTCTATGCTAGATATTTTTAGCATGCTATTTGCATCCCCTTTATTAATTCCTGCTTTCCATTTATACGCCTCAATTATATCCCTTCTAATCCTACGCCTTTCTAGAGAGTACAGATTCAGGGCCCTCAGTCTAGCCTTATAGGGAAGATTTCTGATACATTGGATCAACTTTGTCATTTTCCTTTGTACGTTTTCCAGTGCATTTATATCCATTCTGTAATAAGGTGGCCAGAACTGTGCAGCATAATCTAAATGAGTCCTAACCAAGGATATATAGAGTTGAAGAACAACCTGAGGACTTCTATTATTCTTGCTATAAAGCCAAGGATTCTGTTAGCTTTATTGTGAACACTTATGCACTATTGTCTTGGTTTCAGATTACTGCTAACCAGAACTCCTAAATCCTTTTTGCAATCAGTAATATTAAGATCTACATTATTTAATTCATATGTGGCATGGTTATTTTCCTGTCCAATATTTAGAACTTTGCATTTGTCTATATTAAACTGCATCTGCCACTTCTCCGACCATTGCATCAGTCTTTTCAAATCATCCTGGAGTGCTCTAATATCCTCATTAGAATGAATTGGACGGCCTATTTTGGCGTATTTGCTCATGGCGCTATTTCCTCATCTACGTCGTTTATGTAAATTGTGAACAACAACAGGCCCAACACCGCTTGTGACGTGCCCCATTCTGATTTCTCCCCATTTATGCGAACTCTCTGCTGCCTATTTGTCAACCATGCTTCTACCCAGGAAAAAATTTCTCCTCCTATTCTGTGTGCCTTAAGTTTCCTAAATAGCCTCTGATGTGGAACTTTATCGAAAGCCTTACTGAAGTCCATATACACAATATCATATTCAATACCATGATCTACTTCCTCAAGTACCATAGTGAAGAAAGTAAGTAAATTCGTAAGACAGGAAACGCCCCTTTGTAAAACAGTGTTGAGATTAATTAATCAACCTGTGCCTAAAAAGATGGCTACGAATTGCTTCGGCAATTATTGATTCCATAAATTTTCCCACTGTGGAGGTAAGGCTCATTGGTCTATAGTTCGGAAGCCAAAAACCTGTCACCTGACTTGTAAATAGGTATTAAAGTTGCCATTTTCTACTTGTCAGGCACTATGCCAGTTTGTAGTGATATATTGAAAAGATTAGCCAAATGTATGCTAAGATCCTCTTTACATTCCTCTAAAACTCTTGCAAACAGTTCATCAGGGACTGGGGATGTGAAAATTTGTCTGGACTGCCTCCAAGTGAGTCACCTACCCTGGCAAACTCTGTTGACATCGAGCTCTGAGGTGAGTACCTCAGCCTCACAAGTGGCTTATAGGACAGATTTTCAGAAATGATTGATGTTGCAAGAAACTCGCCTGCATGCACGTATAAAGGACTAACTTACTTGGTATTGCAGCATATATCCTGATCTTCAACTTCCCTAAGCTTAGCCTTAGCCCCTTTGGACTTCCCCTCAGAAACCATGTGCAACCGGGAGCCTTAATTCCTGCAATATTCAATCGTTATTAGTGACCTGCCTGCACCTCAGAAATTCCTATATCCAAGAGGGTGTGTATCCCCTAGTATAACTATGCAGACACAGACACTAGCTTCCAGACTGACAAGAGACACTGGTACTTACTGGGCATGCACTGCCTGCTGCACAAAGGGCCTACAGATCAACTCACTCACAATTCTCCCCAGACATTGGCCAGAAATCTAGCAGATAAAGTGGAGGTCTTGTCTTACTGTATGGGCCTGACGGAGGTCATCTATGGTACATCGAGGTGCCTCTACCAGATTTCCCCAGGTCTCGAATGTGAAGACACGTGGGGGCACTGTCTGCTGATCACGGCACATCTTGTCGAGTTGGCATCTGTCTTAAGAAGAACGCTATTGTGTCTTTGAGGCCCGTGCCTCGTAGTTCAAACTAGGGCTGCCAGTTCACCCTAGCTAACTTAACCTAGTGTTTGCCTACATTATCGGCCTATTGCTACCTATGTTAAGGTCTTAGGTCTACATTATTATTATCTACAGTTGCCTTAGTAAACCTAATATTAATATACTAACAGTAAAACTACCTACTCCTTCCCTGAAGGGTAAATCTATAACTTAAATAGTGCTTACCAACCACGCCAACTCGGGGAGAATGCTTTTTGTTTGGGTGGGTTTAAGGGCCACCCAGCTCAGCCGTTCCATTATGGACTTGCTGGGATCCCTTGGTTCGCCGTGTCTGTCCTGTGGAACTTTAGGGACAAAATAAATTTCCACATCCTCCCTCCGGCGAAGGTAGGTGCTAAGTCTAAATCAAGTTCACCTTCCGCGAGCCCCCACGGCGGACCCTGGACACGAGTGCTGTCCGGCCACTCTCGTTGAGCAGACTCCAGTCTAACTTCAACTGTCCAGTTTCCCCTGCATGGACCTCTGGGGGTGTAAACTTGTTGATTCCGGTGGTCTTAGCACCCTTTCCTTTAACTTTAACGTCTTTCGTATGTCTAGCCTTGACTGAGTGGCTCCGTACTTTCCCACCCAGTGGCCCACATGCCCTGGTAGCCTTTCGTCCCAATGATAAGAGGTTCCCTGGATTTAATGGCAATCTATCTCCCTCTTTACGTACCCTGTACAAGTGTTTTCCCAAGGTGGCCGAGTGTTCGTCACTCCCTACCTGGTTCAGCTTCCCTGGCGGTTCATCGTGTATACTGGTATTCATTATCACTACTCCCCCAGCTATCATGGGGACAGCTTCTCCTCTATCTGGCGTGGCAGGGAATTCAGGTGGAATCCTGCAGCCTATGATGTATCCTACTGGGGATCTGCATAAACCAATTCCTTCCTTAAATGTCCATCGTGTAGACAGGAAGTCATCTGCATGATTGGCTCCCACCAGGACACCTACATTTCTGACTGTGTCAGTGGTAATTCCCTGGTCTGCCAGCTTCACGTCAAGGTCTTTCAATCGCTTAGCTGCTGCAGCAAGACCTCTCGCTGTAAATGCCGTGGGTAATGTCTCTACCACCAAGGCTGTAATGTCTCTGCGATGTCCACCTAATTTGACTGTGACATCCACCACATCATAAGATTTGGGTGGGACCTGACTTATAGCCCCTCCCAACATCATACTAACTTTCTTTGTGGCCTTCAACTTTAATTTAGCCACCAACTTCTTTGTTATCAAGGATACTTGTGCTCCTGGGTCAAAAAATAATTGGGTTGTTTCAGACCTGTGCCCACTCACAACTTTTGCCATGACTGTAGGTAGGCAGCACCTCCGTGATTCTCACTCAGATTAGAGACTTCACTCCCACTAATCACGCTGGCTACCATTTCAGGCTCAGACTCACTTTCTATCTCTACCTGAGAGATATCCCTACTAGCTTGGGGTTCCCTTAAATTATTGGGACATAGTGCAGTATGGTGCTTACCTTTGCAACAGACTCGACACTCACTGAGCTGGGTGCCACAGTCTCTCGCAAAGTGTTCCCCACAACACTTGAAGCAGAGTCTCAACTCCCTTAGTCTCTGTTGCCTACTGCTCAGTGTTATATACTCCGAGCAACTCGTGCTAGCGTGTTTGCCTTCGCAGAACACGCATATTCTGGCATGAGTGCCTCTGAGGCTCTGCTTAGAGGCTCTTACCTTAGACACCTCTTTACCATAGTACACTCCAACGTTAGTCGTACGAGCTTTAGACTGATCTCTCGAGATCTTTGAGTGACTGTCTGGGTTTTTATGTGGTGATGGTGGTGACTCTTCTCTCACACCTATACTCAAATGAGAAAC